TCCAATGCATTGCTTTAAAGTTTTGCTTTTGGTCTTTTGTCGTCCGTAGCTTTCTGTAGCCTTTTTTTCTTCTCCTCTTGGTATGTCTGACGGAGGGACCCCCAGTAGCTTGGGGTGGACTATGTCGAGGCTCAGAGCCCGGCACTGAATCTCCCTGGAGGGAGTCCAAAGATCCAGCACCACATCGTCTAACACTAGATATTCGTGTAATATGTGCTTAGTTACATGGCGCCGTGGTTTGTTAGAGAGAACTAATGGCCCGGCACCGCTGATTTCAACTCTATAGGGGTTCTGATGGGGGTACCTCACCCTTAGCCTTTGCCGATTTAACGACGAACCACAAGGCAGTGGTGGTTCTACTTAACCCAGTAGTAGGAGGTCAGTTGATGGGCACCAGGGCATATCGGTGGGCCATGTATGCCGCATCTTATGGGGGGGCTGACCACCGACCCTGCCAAGATATCCCGCCTAACGGTCGGTCGCACCCTCAGTAGGCTCTGTGCGTAACAGGGAGCACGAACTGGGACGCGCTTCTGAGAAAACATTAACACAGTAGGGGCCATATGCTGAGTCCAGATGGACTTAGCGGCATAATCTGTGTCTAGCATGCCAGACGCTTACCGGGTTCGCCTATGAACCCTTTGATGCGCATAACATGCCTTGCGTGAGCGGGACATCCAGCCCATGACCTCACGGCTCCCCACATCTTATTACAAAACTGAAAACAATTTATTTCATAAAATCTTATGACTTTATGTTGGCAACGGTAACAAATTAGTCCAAATGTAAATTTTTAATAAAGTACCTCTTAGAGTCAATACCAATATTTATATTTGCTCTTATATTTCACTGATAATTGGTTAGTGTTCAGATGTATGGGGGTCATGAAGGACTGCAAAACCTTATAATATATTAAAGCTTTCAACCAGAACATGCAATAATTACCATTCAATTTTACAATGGAAACCATTACAATAGCCACAGGATGCAAACTATTGGACCTGCAAAAATGAAACTTACTTTTTCTCCAATAAACATATTCAGTTACATAAATTCTACAAGTTTTGTTTGATATTTGTTTTCATTTCTCCCGGTGGATGGAATTTGTCTATGTTTATCTTCTATTATGACATATTATGACTTATTTCAAAGTGTTTCGCTAGAAACGATACAAATGTAATAAATGTACGCTCAAAAAAGAATGTACCAGTGATTGCAAGATCACATTATGCTCATATCAGTGACTTTCTAGTGGCATTATACTCATATTTCCGTTTACCAGTTGAGCTTAATAGGCTTAATATTTAGAAAGATTTACTACTATAATGTTCATTGATCAACAAGTTATGACAAAAAATGATAAGCATAAAACATAACAACTACCTTAAATATAAAAATACTCTCCCATTCCTTTTATAAACGTTACCAATACATTCCAAGGCATATTTATAGGTTTTTTTGTGAGTCACGTAGGTTTTTGATTATACACATAAACTAGACTATAAAATTGACCTGTACATCAACCATTTACACTTGGATAGCTGAAAAATGACCCCCACCACCTTCCCAATTCGAACTTTGCGATATTAACAAAAATGTGACATAAGAAAAACAAACCGCATGAAGCCCTTTACATCTTCCTATATGACAACGGTATTATGAAACTAAATTTTCGTCTCTGTGAGTCATAATATTAATACTTACCACAAAGTGAACGATCACGTGCATGTTTATAAATCGCTATGTACTTATAAAATGTAATTGAAAAGTATTTAATTGCACGTACGTTTAGTTTACATCGTCTTATAAAATTTAAATAATAGATTTTGAAACCAAATTTTAACGATTTATCCCACATGTAATAAAAGAATCGCTTCATACTTAGCATTCTGTTCAACACATCTGTTGATTGTTAAAAAATGATTCTGTTGTAGTGATATGGAAGAGGTTTTCTCTGGTTTACACGTTTTATTGGGGAAGAAATATACATTTTAAGACTTGTAAAAAAATGCATGGTTCGATTTTAAATACGCAAATATATAATCAAGGCCGATGGACATACGATCCACACTATACATGTCACTTACATAAATCAGTTATATAATATTAAAAGTATTCAAACTTTTGTATTTTTACGATTACATAAACATACTATGCATGGAAAGAATTCGTGTCAAATGTAATAAAATAAGTAAGGAAAATATTTATTACCCTATTGCAAGTATATGAATTACAATTGTCAAGAATGCCCTTAAATCTCCATGGGTATGATAATAGTTTTCATACAGTTCAATCATCTTCCAATAAACTCGGTAAATCACTTTTATCACCATGAAGACGATAGAAAAAGAACCATAAAAAGCTGACAGGCTAGGGTGCGTATTAAAGTTGTTCAATTTGCTTTAATTCATGTTTATACGCCCGAATGAATTTCGGCGTATATTGTTATGCACCTGGTTGTTCGTCCGCCTGTCCGACCGTTCGTCCGTCCCTCTGTCTGTTTTTTTTTGTTCGGTCCGTATTTTTTAAATCGGTGAAATGAAATTGAAACTACTTGGCGGAAATGTTAACCATAATGAGACGATGTGCATAGCGCAAGTTTGACCTTTCTCAGGTCAAGGTCAATTTCACACTAAGTCATTTTGTTTCAATATTAAAATTCTGTGACCGCTCTGTATCTTTTAAACCAATGGAAAGAAATTAAAACGTTTTTGGCAGAAATATTACTTATATTTAGACGAGGTGCAGAACACAAGTTTGGACTTCCTATGATCAAAATTGGCCCCGTCCCGGGGATTAATTGATTTATTTAAACTTACATAGGAGTTGTGTGTCCGGTCTGGGTTTTTTAACCAGTGGACAGAAATTGAAACTACTTGGCATAAATGTTAAACGTGACGAGACGATGTGTAGAGCGCAGGTTTGACCTTTCTCAGGTCAAAAGGTCAATGTCAGATTTAGTCAATTTTTAATTAATATAAAAATTTGGTGTCCGCTTTGTTTCTTTTCCGATAGTATGAAATTAAGTCTATTTGGCAGAAATATTTATATTACTGCGATGTGTGCAGGGAGCAGTTTTGGACTACCTCAGGTCAAGGTCACACTGACTCATTCAAAATCGTTAAATAAGAGTATAAAGTGTAAAAAGTGTATAAAAGGAGAGTACAATGTATGAATTTAATAATTTTCCTCCCAATAAATATGTATTTACCTCCCTTTCTTTTCCAAATTTATTACTTTATAATTTTATTTTTTATCAAACTTCATATCTTAAGATTGTTTCCTGTCAAGATTATAATAATTGAGGAGAGTTTTATATGACTATATGATTATTATTTAAAATAACACAATATTATTACTTAAAACGGATGTTTCTTAAGATATGTAAATTCACTAAATAAGTTGTAAATGAGGCATATAAAATGTCATTTTTTAAGGTAATTTATCAAAACTTTGGACATGAATACTGCTATGTTATATTGTGGGCAATCTCTCCCTTATTGAAAGACTTCTATGAGTTGGAGGACTGATGTAAAGTGCCTGTACCTCTGTAATTAAACATCAAAACAACATTTCTGTTCACAGGGAGAAATACCAGTATAATAAATTTAGCCTATGTCTAACCCTGCAGTTTGAATTGCTGAAGGCAATAAGAACACATTTTAATATGCCCAAACAATTTATATTTATGTTAAAGCTTAGATATTTTGCATGAAGCATGCCTTGTTGACAACTACAAAAAATATATAAATCATATGATCCTGTAGTCAATATTGCCCCTGTCCCAGGGGTCACATAGATAGAAAAACTTATTTTCATATATATATTCTTATGTATATTGTATACATGTTTTAAAAGTCTTTTCCTCCAACATACAACATGCAGAGCATACATGTTAAGCATGTATCATCAATTTGTAAAAGTAGAATTATTAGTTTTGTGATGGATGTTTGTGTATTGATGTTATAAATGTAAAGGCAGGTAATAAAAAAGAAAAATATTTGTAAGCATAGCATTTTGATTTTTTATCATTTTATAGGCATACTTTTTTGTGCTTTTGAATTTTTGGTATAATATTATTTATATGTTCTTTTGATATTTTATCTTTTAGAAACCAACATTATTGTTGTTTTCAGTCAGTATATACACTCCGTGACAATTGCATGAAGATAAGTAATCACCACTCTGTGCTTCAAAATTTGTTCTAAGGACATGTCTGGGGTCTGTACTCCACAGCGGAAAGCTGTGGCATATATAATTGTCCCTTAGTATTCATGCGACAAGAGCATAGCTCTTTGGCATGTATAAATATAGATCTAAATATTGATAATTGAAAAAAAAAACATGTTTTGGACAAATGTTATTAATAGGTATCCTCTCTGTTTACAAATTATTTTTGATTACCTTATATTTTATTTACTTAAAACAAATTTGCATTCGGGCGTATATTACTACGCCTATGCGGTGATCTTGTTAATGTATGAAACATAATGTATAATGATGTCATGTATCATGAAAAGATCAAGACAGTTTAACTATTCATACAGAAAAAAAATGCAAAACGCTAAGGTATAATAAATGTCTTTAGATAATAATATGTCCATTATCTTAGAATGTCTGAACGTATAGCAAATATATCACCATTTGCTTTGTATGTCAATATTAGTTTAAGAATGCATTAACTTTTTTATCGGGTAGGTGTTTGATTGCTTTAGATTAAAATTATCCTCTGCAGCTTATACCCCATCCCACCCTAATGATAGACAAATCGGAACAAAGCAATTAATCACAAATTAATTATAGAAAACGTACTATTCCCAAACAAATCACTCAAACATTTCCTGCTATAAATATGTATTTGTTATAATTTATCATTATTACAATTTGAATGGAAAGTTAGTAACTTGATATAACTGCAAACTATGTAAAAGTAAAAATGTTCATTGTATTAATATTTCTTTTTGAAATCCAAAAAATTTGTCTCAATTTTATCGTTTCAGATTACAATCTTATCGAACGTATCAGAGCAAACGTCACAACAAACCAGTCCAGTACTTATTCTCCATCCAGTAATCCTCAAGATTTTGACTCTAGTAAAGCAATAGACGGGGTGCAGAATTATTTAGTAGATACATGTAAATGCTGCAGTTTAACACACGGAGCCCTACCTTCATGGTGGCAAATTGATCTTGGACAGAAATACTTGTTAAGTTCTTTGCAGATATTTGGCCGTGCAGCAGGTAAAATAAGTAAGATAATATATTTTGGCTAACTATCGACAATATTCAGACCTTTACATTCCATAAATAACAAAACTACTTTCAAAACTTCAATTTAAATATGACATTTTCTATTGTTCTTCATAGTTATATTAAAATAATAAAATTAACATAGTATCAACCTCATCAAAAAACGAAACAAACAAAATCAGTCATATTAAGTGTCAGGTCTTTACAAAAAAAATTGGAAATCAAAACTTGATATTACTAATGGTTTCTCTTGAGAAAATAAGAATGGTTAACTTTTTGGATATAAAAGTATATAACACAGCAGTAATACATCTATTTTGCTTTTAGCGTTTACAATCGATTTATTTTCTGTGGCAGATTATAACTATCAATTAGAAAATGCAACAATTTATGCTGGAAACGTATCAATAAAAACAAACATGACTTTAGTTTACAAAGTTCCATCGATGACTAGTACACGCAATTTTACAAAAGAATTAGACGCAATAATCGCACAGTACTTCAGGGTAGAATTGAACCAAAGAGAGTTGACTTTGTGCGAGTTCAAGCTATTTGGGAAAGGTATCGCTTTAAATTTTAAATATGTAATCTTTTCAATGTGATAGTTCAATTTGATACGAAAAAAATTAATATTTTACAAAATACTAAAGTCTTTGAATTCAAGAACGTAATTACTATTTGTATCATATAATGATTTGTGTTTGTGATGACTCAAAATGTTTGTTTCACGATGTCGAATTTATAGTTACAATAATTAAACATCTTACCATGATAAGATTATTGTCTGCATCACTTTTTAAAGGTACGTAACGTTTGTGTACAAATTTAATGTGTCTAGGCAAAGGAAAGTTTGAATAACTTCAAGGTCATAATAACTATATTAATAAGATTACAGCGCTTATATGTACATGAGTTTTAAACTATCCTCATGATTCAACTCCCTCTATAAGAAGTTATTATTTAATGACTGTTAATTTCATGTGATTGTTTTTTACTAAGAATGTGAAATAGGTTATTTTGGATCGGGATGTTTGCATAGTTGTCACTGTTCAGATAATAACAAATGTGATCAAGTAACAGGGAAATGTCAGACATCTGGTTGTCTGGCAGGCTGGACAGGTGAAGCATGTGAAGACGGTGAGTTGTCACTTAATGATTAAACACATTTTCTCATTTTTTGTTTATCTTTAATGTCTAGTAAACATTCGTTATTCTTAAGGAATTTTAATTTAGTTTCTCTAATTATTGTTACACTAATGCTATACTCTACTAGTAATAACACCATCTTTAAAATGTCATGAAAAACAAATTTTGATTTGGACAATTATTGTTATAGTTTTGTCCCATTGTATGTGCATTACTTGATCGTGCCTTATAGACCTTAGATAAATGAAAGTACACGATAATTGCTAATTTTATGTCTGCCATAACTAATAATGAAAATTATTACTTCAGTGAACTCGCATGATCTTGAATTTTAGTGGTAGCAGAGGTGCTATAATAGTCGGGCAGTTCAAGAAGTTGCCATTCATTCAGTAGAAGCCCAAAATCTACTGTGATCCGATACCTGGAAAAAAAAATGTTGTCTCTCTTGCGAAATATCTTTAAATGATATGGGCTACATTACGTTTGTGTAATACCTGACTGACATGAGTCCATTTAATTTTAGTTTTATAACATACTCCAGTAGTAAGTTATCGCTCGCTAGCATTTCAAACATTTCTTCTCCATCCATTATTTGCAAGCATGATGTAATGTTTTATTGTTGTTTTTATTGTACCATTTTTTTCTTCTTGTTCTGTAATCACATAGTGCTTTCATACGTCCATATGTTTTATTGCCTTATAAAAAAATATAGCATTGTCATGTCAGTAATAGCTCGTTCAAAAGTCAAAGCGAACAAGATAGTTAAAAAGTACTCGAATCCCTGTTTATTACTATTTTTCATAAATTTTATTGTTGACCTACTAGTAGAAGGAATTTGTTCTAACAAATGGTTATGGTGTACGATTCTAACTGTGATATCTGCTCACTTAATTTCGGAACATAATTACTGCTAATCAAAACATTCGCTCAGTACTAACGTTATGTAATTATACTGAGGAGTATTACATGATAAACAAGTAAAATGCAAAGATTTCATATCGTTTTTGTAATGGTGATGAAAAAAGCAACATCAAAGTCTCTCAAAGGCTGAGCTAATCCTGAATTATAACTGGTCGTCTCTGATATTTGCTGCGTTTTTTCAATACCTGCGTAAAATATGACATCTAAAAAATTATATTTTTTGGCTTTTATATACAAAATCGAGCATTTGAGCTACTCTGAGAACAAATGTATCTGAGAAGGCGCGTCACGTGACTGTTTCTGCCAAAATGTAACATAAATTTATGTCTTTTTGCAAAAAGTAAGTTATTAAATGTATAGACAAAATATTGCAATGCACGGGACACATTTAATGGATCACTTCTTCCGTTTTTAAGCATCTAGCGTTCATTTAACATTTAATCGTTGTACATAACGTAATGTATACACACACGCCACTAAAAAACGTTTACGTAGCTGAAAGACCCATATCTGCTGTGCATTCCGAATTAAAGACTCTACTTTCAGTTTTGTGGAGTCGCTATGAAAATGCTTGCGAAAGTGTTAGTCTTTCTTAGGATATGATAGTTTTTGCGTCATTTCATGGCCGTATTATCCTTTTGTCGTAACAATTGTGTATGCACCTAACGTAAGAAGAAGAAGGTCCAGGAAACAGTGTAACTTTAAAATTGGATCAGAGATAATGCGCTTATCAGTAAATTCTTTCAAGAGATGAAATCATAGTTATACTAAAGGTGTTATTACAATATTAATGTAAGAATTAATGAATTGCAATAGTAAAATTCTTGAATTTAAAGACATAAAGACTGGCGTTATCATAATACTGAAATCGTGTTTAACGATCTACAAGTATTGCAAATTTTGTTGTCAAAAGAATACTTTATTCAAAAATACCATATTCTTCCTGATAATATTAGATCAGATTACAGTATGTTATTTTGCATAAACCACTGAAGTATCTACATACATTCATTCTGCTGAAGCTTCTGACGAGTTTTAGCGAAAATGACAAACATTTCAAAAATATGATTCATTGTTGCGCGGTAAAAATGGTTCAGATTGATGAAACAAAAGGAACTATAAATAAAACATATTAACTATGATTCTATTTGATGTACCTTTAGTTGTACTTATTATACAAAAGAATTGTATAGGTAACTTTGTTCAAATTAAGACATACATCATACATGCATAAGTACGTCTGATTGCAAGTTTTCTGACCAGGTATATCGGCTAGGGAACAAAACACTTTACTCCCAGATCCTCCAACCCTCACATTTTAGAACACCAACTTCAAGACAATAAATCCCCAACATCTAAAATAAACTTCACGCCCTCATCCCTTAACTTTTAGAGTATATAGTTTAATTTATTGGGGTGAAATGTCTGGGGTGTGAAGTATCTGTGGGAGAAGTGTCTGTTAGCAGCGGAATTGTGTCCCGAATAATTATTGCCTCGCAGCACTCCCATCTATTTAATTGCAACCAAACATTTTAAGAGTTTAAAATATGAATTCATCGCTAAAATCCTTAAAAACTTTAAAGACTACAATTTCCATACGAAAAAACCGAGCTTAACAAGCAATTTATCCATAATTAGTCGGCCGTTTCGGATGATCACATCATATCACCTATCTGTCATCGCACAACAACTACGGTTATACATGTATATATTGACTTTTATATGTCTTATAGTAATTAGCTTATCTTAACAATTACCATATCTTAATATAATGCATCGACATCATACGATTTCTTGTGCCCTGTCCTGTTTTTGTTTGGGGTCCTCTTGGGCTCCTTGCCACTGGCTCTTGTTGCTGGATCGTGTGGGGGTTGCGTTCATTGAACGCCGCCTTTCCTTGTTGATATTGTTTATCATAGTATAAAACTTACATTCCCGCTTCTCCTGTACTAAACATATTCCTACACTGTTGTCCTCTCGTACCAAATGTGAAACAATTTACTTACTCGAAAAAAATCTTTGGTAATCTACTTTGTCAGAAAAAAATGACATTGATTATGTTAAATTGTCATATTCAGTTGATTGAATTCATTATCAATTTGACGATTTCACCTTTGTGAAGTAAAATTTGTGAATATATAAAACGTATATGTGTTACATTCCAATCACTTATTGTACATATAACCTGTATGTGCAATGGCATTGACCTATTATTAAATTGTTGACACAATTTCTGTCCTCGATGCTCTGTAAATTGAATGTTTGTTCAACAAGGTTTTGTTTAGCTTTAAGTGTATTTCGAACAAGAATGAAACGTCTATACTAAGATTTAAAACAAAAATCTTACGCGTACCAATTTACTTTAACCCTGCAAATATGTATATGCATAAAATGCTCGGGGATTACAAACTCAATCAAACCGAGTCTGCAATTTTCATGTATTTTAACTGTTTTTAATGCTTCCGATTGATCACTTTTTTCCAGATATTGATACATTATAACAGCAGGTGTCAAATGCTGTGCGAAAGCCGTAAATAGCTTCCCCGTACTCCACTTCAGTGTTGTTATATTTTTCTGGTCCTTCGGAAGCATTGCGTCCAGCACTTTTAATTTTTTGAAGATTTAGTACCACTCAAGCCGGTGCTAGAGGGCATGAGGGATGTTGCTCATTTCAATTATTTCTCATGTACAAACTCAATCAAATCGAGTATGCAATTTCGTTGTTTTTTATGCTTCCGAAGGATCACTTTTTTCCAGATAACAATGCTTTTAGTGCTTTGATTTATGAGAATTATAGTGATACTATGTACTTAATCATTTTTTTAAACTAGACTGTCCAGAGGGTACATTTGGTTTAAATTGTTATGGTATATGTAACTGCAAAGATGATGCCGAATGTCGTAAAACGGATGGATTTTGTAGTAACGGTTGTGCATTTGGATGGTCAGGTTTTAACTGTAGCAAAGGTATCGATTTGGCAGCCGTTAAAACGCCTACATTTATGTTTTTGTCATATTCGAAACTAATTGCTTCCTAAAAGAATCGTGACAAAAATATTACATGAACACATGCTCAATGAGAGTATCTATCGAAGAAGTAATTTATAGTATATACAATTAAATCTCACTTTTGCAACTATCACGAGTTAGTGAAGTACTCAATTTATTTGATTTAAAGTGCGTGATTGTAAAGATAATGAATGTGACAAAGTACAAATGTTAATGAGTTAATGATCTCAATAAATATATTTAAGAAAATAACGTTGTTTTAAATATTCTTAATAATTAAAATCATTATATGTCAATTATTTACTATATGTTTATTGCAGATTTAAATCTCATCAAGCGTATCAGAGCAAACGTCGTTACAAGTCAATCAAGTACATTTGCTCCTTATCAGAATCCATCCGATTTTAATTCAAGTAAAGCAATAGACGGCGTTCATAATTATTCGATTGATTCATGTAAATGCTGCAGTGTAACAGACGGACATATCCCTTCGTGGTGGCAAATTGATCTTACACAAAGATACTTGATTGGTGCTATTCAGATATTTGGTCGAGAATCGGGTAAAATGGCGTTTTAAGTTTTACGTATTCTTAAACTTATAAATATAGATCTAGTTATGTGTTTTGTTAAATTGAAAAAAAAAGAACATCTTGAAGACATCATTGAAAAGATGATAAAAATGAGCCGCGTCACGACAAAACCAACATAGTGGGTTTGCGACCAGCATGGATCCAGACCAGCCTGCGCATCCGCGCAGTCTGATCAGGATCCATGCTGTTCGCTTACCAACTCTATTACAAGTGGAGAAACTGACAGCGAACAGCAAGGATCCTGATCAGTCTGCGCGGATGAGCAGGCTGGTCTGGATCCATGCTAGTCGCAAACCCACTATGTTGGTTTTGTCGTGACGCGGCTCAAATGTATTCTTCACTAGATTTAATCAAAAGTAAGGTGTGTATGTCAAGGTAAAGTATTACAAATTAATACATAATAATACCTGCCATAGTTTGATTTAGTATTATGAAGTTATATGCATGCGATGGAAGTAAAGTACATATAACTTAAGCATTTTTGATTAAACAAAATCTGAATGCTCTGTTGCAACAACTATTGAAATAAAACCACTATTGAAATAAATTATTTCAATAGTGGTTGCAAATTATTTCTCATAGTAGTATAGGCGTCTCTTTGGGGGCACGACTGCGCATGCGCGGCGCCATATTGGATTCTAGTTTTAGAATGACATCATCGTTCTATTTTTAGAATGTTATCAGCCGTCTATTTTTAGAAATCTATTTTGAACCTCCCGGAAGTATACGGAGCTGACTCGTATACACGATCTTAGGGCTTGAATCGCGGACATTGAAGGGTCAGGTCCTCGGCCCTAGACGGGGAGATAACATTTCAAATGAAAATTATACACATGTATCCATAAAAAATATGAATAAATAAAAATGACTTACCTTCCAATTAGGACATTTTGTATTTGAATAATAGTGTGTATTATTCATATAACATTTTTAATAAAAAGTTGTATTAAAAACTGATTAAATATTAATATATTATTTCAAATGTGTTTTTTTATAAACATTCCAAATAAAAGAAAAAAAGTTAGTAATAAGATATAATTGAAAACTGACTGACTAATTGACTCTTCATAATACAATGAATTAGACAGTTAAATAGTTTAAATGTGTTTCTTTATAAACTTTTTTAACATAAAACAAAATATATGAAATTATTTTTCAATGTAATTCGATATTATGAGTCAGTCAAATAATGTTTCTATATAATATAATAATAAGGTCTTTTACTGTAAAATAATTTAATAAATATTTGCGTAAAATACATACATACGATGTTGACTTCTTGGCGTTTCGCAACGAAATAACTCCAATATTAAAAGTACTATCCCTTAATGCGCATGCTTGGATCTGATGACGTCACCAATGCAATGAAACAAGTTCCAACATGTCGCGCGTTTATTTATTTAAGGCCAGCTGGGCGGACAATTCAAAGTAAACATGTCAAATTTGATCCTTTTAAAGTCGCCGCACTGTTTGGCGTGTGTTGATTTAAGAGCAGATGTGCGGACAAAAGGCTATTCAGGTGTCAAAATTAATCCATTCAGAATGTCAACAATGTCTGGCATATGTTGATTTAAGAGCAGATGTGCGGACAATGGTCCATTCAACTGTTAAAATTAATCCCTTTAAAGTCGCCACGCTGTTTAGCGTGTGTTTATTTAGGGACGAATACTTTAACAAAGGTTCATTTAACTGTCAAAATTAATTCCTTTAAAGTCGCCGCGATGTTTGGCGTCTTGTTTATTTAGGGAAGAATACTTTAATAATGGTCTATTCATGTGCCAAGGCTAGCTTGTTTACATTATTTGGCATGTGTTGATTTAAGTTTGAAAGAGTTAACAAAGGTCCATTTAAGTGTTAAAATGAATCTCTTTAAAGTTGCCACTTGGTCTGACGTATGTTTAATTTGGAACGGATATGCGGACAATGCTCCATTCAAAAGTTTATCCGTCTAAAGTAAAAGCGGGTTAGCAATAAGCTATTGAAGTGTCAGTTTACCACTGGGGCATAATTTTAAACTCATTTTGGAAAAGAAATGCCAACATGATTTTAAAACTGATCACCACGAATGTGCAAAATTATAAAAAAAAACACTATTATCAATGGTCACTAAAAACGAACAAAAATACAACAGAAAAGGCGTTTTTCGTCTTTTGTGCAACATTTTACGATATCCATTTTGATTTTTTTCGCATAAAATGGTAGACCTGACAGAATGCTTCGAAATAAACCCAAGGTTCTCGATTCGATTTTTAGGCGTTCTCGAGTTATGGCCCTTTATCGATTTTTAAACTATTTTTTCAAAAATCATAAAACCCTTAGATTTATGTGCCGTTTGAAAGATCTTTGCGAGTAGATACAGAAAATGTATTATTATATGGATCTATCTCTTACCGTTTCTGAGATAGGAGAGTTTGAATATGGCAGACAAAATCACTCATGCATCTAAATACGTATAACTTTTTTGTTACTGGACATAACATAGGCATGTTGCATATCAAACGAAAGGTCTTGACAAATGCTACGAGCTCGTACTGTTAAACCGAGAGTGAAATCACTCATGCGTAAAAAACATTAAAATAACTAAAATAAGCTTACCCCAGTCTTTACTCCTCGCCTATCAAACTATTTATGACAATTTACGACAGGTTTAAACCGGTAGTGCTATTTTTGATCAGCCAATGAAATTGAAAAACGATGACGTCTAACAATAGACAGATTCGTTTTGAACCCACTCTTTTTCATTAACCAATGAAAAGTTGAGAAGGATAACTGGATAAATTTTGACATAAAAAACGCTTTTTTTTGTCTTTTATGCAACACTTTACGATATCGATTTTCAAGATATTTGTTTCATTTGATAGACATTACGAAATGCTTCAAAATAAACCCTAGGTTCTCGATTCGATTTTAAGCCGTTCTCGAGTTATGGCCCTTTAGCGATTTTTAAACCAATTTTTCAAAGTCCATAAAAACCGTGAAATGTTTATACCGTTTGAAAGATCTCTGCGAGTAGATACAGAAAATGTATTATTATATGGATCTATCTCTTACCGTTTCTGAGATAGGAGAGTTTGAATATGGCAGACAAAATCACTCATGCGGAAAAACGCGCATAACTTTTTCGTTTATGAACGAAACATAGTCTTGTTTGGTATCAAATTGAAGGTCTTGACGAGTACATTTTACTTACGCGATCAAACCAGATGTTTAGTCACTCGTGCGTGAAATTTATTTATTCTCCCCAACCAACGGACCGATCTTATCAATACCTGTATCGAACGAAAGGTATTACTCACTAAATTCAGAAAATGTATATTTTTGTATCGCTGACTCGGATAGGACACGAGATATGAAGTAAAATCACTCAAGCGTAAAATGTGGATTGACGCCTTCCTTAGTCAACATAACCCGGTCATGTTTGGTATCGTACGAAATGTTTTAAGGTTCTCTTTATGAATACGGACTAAAAATCACTAGTGCATAAACGCTCTATTTCTATTAAACATTCTTCATTGAAAATACTGTACTTGAAATATAAACTCAACTTACTGCGTAATGATGTTTACTCTTTGACGTCCAATCACCAAATGACTGAAGTCACCACTGCGATACATTATGCGCATGCGCTGATCTAAATTTAGAAATGACATTGTCCAATCTAACAGCAGTTGGTCTTTTCTTACGGACTGAATGTAACCAATCAGACAGAAAATTTATTTGACCAATGATTTTGGTCACGTGACTATTTATAACATAAATAGAGGAATAACGTCATGCCAAAAATAGCAGTCAATCAAATTTTAATACGTGTGTATAAAAAAAGAATGTTTTTCTGCGTATATTTTATCACTGGAAACAGGATTTTTCATCTATTACCACATCTATTACACACCACCACGCCACCAGCACCACCAGCACCACCACCGCCGCCACGCCATCACCGCCGCCACCACCCGCCGCCGCCACCGCCGCCGCCGCCGCACCGCCACCGCCACCACCACACCAGCAACCACCAGGAACCATCACCAAAACAGGCGGCGGCGGTGGTGGCGCAGCGGCGCGGCGGTGGCGGCGGAGGCGGCGGCGGGTGGGGCGGTGGTGGTGGTGCTGGTGGCTTGGTGGTGGTGGTAATAGATGTGGTAATAGATGACAAATCCTGTTTCCAGTGATAAAATATACGCAGAAAAACATTCTTTTTTTATACACACGTATTAAAATCTGATTGGCTGTTATTTTTGGCATGACGTTATTCCTCTATTTATGTTATAAATAGTCACGTGACCAAAATCATTGGTCAAATAAATTTTCTGTCTGATTGGTTACATTCAGTCCGTAAGAAAAGACCAACTGCTGTTAGATTGGACAATGTCATTTCTAAATTTAGATCAGCGCATGCGCATAATGTATCGCAGTGGTGACTTCAGTCATTTGGTGATTGGACGTCAAAGAGTAAACATCATTACGCAGTAAGTTGAGTTTATATTTCAAGTACAGTATTTTCAATGAAGAATGTTTAATAGAAATAGAGCGTTTATGCACTAGTGATTTTTAGTCCGTATTCATAAAGAGAACCTTAAAACATTTCGTACGATACCAAACATGACCGGGTTATGTTGACTAAGGAAGGCGTCAATCCACATTTTACGCTTGAGTGATTTTACTTCATATCTCATGTCCTATCCGAGTCAGCGATACAAAAATATACATTTTCTGAATTTAGTGAGTAATACCTTTCGTTCGATACAGGTATTGATAAGATCAGTCCGTTGGTTGGGGAGAATAAATAAATTTCACGCACGAGTGACTTAACATCTGGTTTGATCGCGTAAGTAAAATGTACTCGTCAAGACCTTCAATTTGATACCAAACAAGACTATGTTTCGTTCATAAACGAAAAAGTTATGCGCGTTTTTCCGCATGAGTGATTTTGTCTGCCATATTCAAACTATCCTATCTCAGAAACGGTAAGAGATAGATCCATATAATAATACATTTTCTGTATCTACTCGCAGAGATCTTTCAAACGGTATAACATTTCACGGTTTTTATGGACTTTGAAAAATTGGTTTAAAAATCGCTAAAGGGCCATAACTCGAGAACGGCTTAAAATCGAATCGAGAACCTAGGGTTTATTTTGAAGCATTTCGTAATGTCTATCAAATGAAACAAATATCTTGAAAATCGATATCGTAAAGTGTTGCATAAAAGACAAAAAAAAGCGTTTTTTATGTCAAAATTTATCCAGTTATCCTTCTCCACTTTTCATTGGTTAATGAAAAAGAGTGGGTTCAAAACGAATCTGTCTATTGTTAGACGTCATCGTTTTTCAATTTCATTGGCTGATCAAAAATAGCAATACGGTTTAAACCTGTCGTAAATTGTCATAAATAGTTTGATAGGCGAGGAGTAAAGACTGGGGTAAGCTTATTTTAGTTATTTTAATGTTTTTTACGCATGAGTGATTTCACTCTCGGTTTAACAGTACGAGCTCGTAGCATTTGTCAAGACCTTTCGTTTGATATGCAACATGCCTATGTTATGTCCAGTAACAAAAAAGTTATACGTATTTATATGCATGAGTGATTTTGTCTGCCATATTCAAACTCTCCTATCTCAGAAACGGTAAGAGATAGATCCATATAATAATACATTTTCTGTATCTACTCGCAGAGATCTTTCAAACGGCACATAAATCTAAGGGTTTTATGGAATTTTTGAAAAAATAGTTTAAAAATCGATAAAGGCCATAACTCGAGAACGCCTAAAAATCGAATCGAGAACCTTGGGTTTATTTCGAAGCATTCTGTCAGGTCTACCATTTTATGCGAAAAAAAATCAAAATGATATCGTAAAATGTTGCACGAAAGACGAAAAACGCCTTTTCTGTTGTATTTTTGTTCGGTTTTAGTGACCATTGATAATAGTGTTTTTTTTTATAATTTTGCACATTCGTGGTGATCAGTTTTAAAATCATGTTGGCATTTCTTTTCCAAAATGAGTTTAAAATTATGCCCCAGTGGTAAACTGACACTTCAATAGCTTATTGCTAACCCGCTTTTACTTTAGACGGATAAACTTTTGAATGGAGCATTGTCCGCATATCCGTTCCAAATTAAACATACGTCAGACCAAGTGGCAACTTTAAAGAGATTCATTTTAACACTTAAATGGACCTTTGTTAACTCTTTCAAACTTAAATCAACACATGCCAAATAATGTAAACAAGCTAGCCTTGGCACATGAATAGACCATTATTAAAGTATTCTTCCCTAAATAAACAAGACGCCAAACATCGCGGCGACTTTAAAGGAATTAATTTTGACAGTTAAATGAACCTTTGTTAAAGTATTCGTCCCTAAATAAACACACGCTAAACAGCGTGGCGACTTTAAAGGGATTAATTTTAACAGTTGAATGGACCATTGTCCGCACATCTGCTCTTAAATCAACATATGCCAGACATTGTTGACATTCTGAATGGATTAATTTTGACACCTGAATAGCCTTTTGTCCGCACATCTGCTCTTAAATCAACACACGCCAAACAGTGCGGCGACTTTAAAAGGATCAAATTTGACATGTTTACTTTGAATTGTCCGCCCAGCTGGCCTTAAATAAATAAACGCGCGACATGTTGGAACTTGTTTCATTGCATTGGTGACGTCATCAGATCCAAGCATGCGCATTAAGGGATAGTACTTTTAATATTGGAGTCATTTCGTTGCGGAACGCCGAAAAGTCAACATCGTATGTATGTATTTTACGCAAATATTTATTAAATTATTTTACAGTAAAAGACCTTATTATTATATTACATAGAAAAATTATTTGACTGACTCATAATATCGAATTAAATTGAAAAATAATTTCATATATTTTGTTATATGTTAAAAAAGTTTATAAAGAAACACATTTAAACTATTTAACTGTCTTATTCATTGTATTATAAAGAGTCAATTAGTCAGTCAGTTTTCAATTATATCTTATTACTAACGTATTTTCTTTTATTTGGAATGTTTATAAAAAAACACATTTGAAATAATATATTAATATTTAATCAGTTTTTAATACAACTTTTTATTAAAAATGTTATATGAATAATACACACTATTATTCAAATACAAAATGTCCTAATTGGAAGGTAAGTCATTTTTATTTATTCATATTTTTTATGGATACATGTGTATAATTTTCATTTGAAATGTTATCTCCCCGTCTAGGGCCGAGGACCTGACCCTTCAATGTCCGCGATTCAAGCCCTAAGATCGTGTATACGAGTCAGCTCCGTATACTTCCGGGAGGTTCAAAATAGATTTCTAAAAATAGACGGCTGATAACATTCTAAAAATAGAACGATGATGTCATTCTAAAACTAGAATCCAATATGGCGCCGCGCATGCGCAGTCGTGCCCCCAAAGAGACGCCTATACTACTTCTCATAATAAGCTTCATAACCCACCACTATTGAAGTAATTTATTTCAATTGTGGTCGTAATAAAATTCATTACTAACCACTATTGAAATAATTTATTTCAATAGTGGTCGTAATAAAATTCATCACTAACCATTATTGAAATAATTTATCTTAATAGTGATGTTTATAATTACATGTATCCTTAATTGATTTATTTTAATATACAGGGGGTTTGAGTTGAAGTTCCGGTAATTTCCAATGTGTTAATTCTTGTACAAATAATTTACGATTTTCACATTATATATCAATAGAAAGAAAAAGGTAAAGAAAAGAATATGAAAACAATTCTATACATCATTCTACGAGATTTTTTTTTATTTCTGCACAACAGTAAAAAATCCGAAAAGAGGTACGTTAAATTCATAGTCTCGGTTATAATTACTGTAAAATATAAGTCTTTAATACCTTTTATTTGCATTTTAATTTGCGTGAATTGGTTATATATTTTTGCACACCCGTGAAAATTGTAACATTATACCATATTTCCTTTTAGTCTTGATTATTAATACCGTAAAATATGCAAGTATAATACCCACTTTTTATATCTGATATTGTTCGTTAGATAAAGTGTTTCTTGCGTTACAATAGTAATAACAAAGTAATATTTCTAAAAAGTTCATTCTCGTCTACAATAAAAAAAAATAATGAAACATTAGTCTTTAAAAGTGTCTGTAAAGTGACTCTTAAAATGAAATGCATCCCCAACTACTATTGATATAATTACTTCGATAGTAGTTGTATTTCAATATTGGTTGCAAAGTGATTCTTCAAATTAAATAATCCCCAACCACTATTGAAATAATTTATTTCAATAGTGGTTTTATTTCAATAGTGGTTGCAAAGTGATTTTTCTAATGAAATGCATTCCCAACCACTTTTGAAATAATTTATTTCAATAGTGGTTTTATTTCAATAGTGGTTGCAACAATGCTCGTCTTTACTTACTAAATATTTCATACACTAATATACAATCATGTATTTGTTAGGTCATTTCAATTCAAAATTAATTATGTTTAAATCACACAACCACATAACACTAAATTGAATGTATAATCATGCTAAATCGTGATAGGTTATCCAGAGCAATTGCAACATGCAGTAGTATATGCTGGCAATGCATCCATGGCCTCCAACATGACATCGAATAAAATGAAGGTTTACGAAGTTCCTAATATAACTGACACTCGAATCTTTACAAATGACTTAGATCCACTGATTGTGCAATACTTTTTGGTAGAGCTGCCACAGAAGGTTTTGACTTTGTGTGAATTCAAGTTATATGAGAAAGGTAACTCATGAAATGAGTGTATTTGCATCTTTAGTCTTTAAACAATATTTATACAACAAACATGATTATACGCACATGTAAGCTATTAAAATGAAATCAAATATTGAAGATGAAATTGATATGTACACATGTATCAATCATATAACGGATTTAAATAAAATGACTATACAGATGATGAATTCTTTCGTTTGTGTACTCAGTATAATATTCTAGGTGATGTAGTCGTAATTGTAGTAGAGGACATTATACGCATATATATATATGACGATTCATATATAAGGGTTTATGTGCTTTTAACACAATAAAATGTTTCACAGACTTGATTAATTATTTAACAACCATTTTTGTTCCCTGAACATTTGCTACTCATTTTCAAAGCAGTTATTAATTGTAAAATTTTCCAGAGACTGGTGGTTGTTGAAAGAATTTACTTCGACAAATAATTTAACAAACTGGTTTAACACTTTAGATGGAATGTAGGAACAAATATTTTTTGAAATATTATAATGTTTATTATTGTTTTATTAAGTTGGAAGATATGTGTTATTTTTGTCTTTGAAAATGTAAATTATGAAATATTTAAATGATTTGCCTATCCTTAAACCAAGAAAGTGAAAACACATGCTAATTTAGTTTGCGCTTTAAAACTTCTATATGTTCTATTTTTCCTGTTTGTAGAATGTAAAGCCGGTTATTTTGGATCGGGATGTTTGCATGGTTGTCATTGTTCAGACAATAAAAAATGTGATCAAGTGACAGGGGAATGTCAGACACCTGGTTGCCTGGTAGGCTGGAAGGGTGGAGCATGCACAGACCGTAAGTTATAATACATTCAAATAGTAATTAGATATTAGCAAAATTAGTAGCGGTAGTATTAGCTGTGGCAGTAGCATATGAGACGCATAAGCAGCAATAGTAGTAGTAGTGGTGGTTGCTGTAGTAGGCAAAAAAATAGTAAAAAGAAACAGCAGCAACTGTTACAGTATCAAAATTAAAATTTTAAATGCTCAGTTAAGTAAGAACATAAACAGTGTTCTTTCTCATGATATTACCTTTAGAGATCATGCATTTGACAACCAGGACCGAAGAACCAAGGCCTGGCGGAAACTAGGGTCATGACATCTGATAGAAAAATTACAAAGATTATATTGCAAACAAGCACCGTGTATATAAAACTATATAAATAGAGGATAAAAGTTTTTTCTTTGTTATGTTTGAGCTTCAAAATAGACTTAAATGGTATTGGGCCCACCGCACTGCGTTATAATCGAATTCACTGCCCTCTGCGTTGTAATCATGTTTTGTCAATTCTTTTATGAGAAGGCAATGACATTTACCAAACTTTCCAAAATATGGTTGTTTTGTGCAATAACCATACACACGAAGCCATGCCGATGTATTGAGGGTTATTTTTTGCACATGCTTACCAACAACAGCAAATGGCCATTTTTTTATCCATCGCTTCTGCGACGAATACTCCACCGCCGCTGCGACGGACCCACCGCTTCTACGAATGCTATGGCCAGTGTGAATACAATGTTCTTGAAGGGGTTCCAATCAATATTCAAATTTTAATAATTCGGGAACCGTTAATCAAATGAGCATTATCTGTTTACTAGCACAAAGGAATGTGGTGGTGTATTTTAAGTGGTGGGAGGTCCTCGTATCTGCCTATTCGAGAGAAATAATTTAAACTCGACTCCATTTTATCTCAGGAATGGAAAGATATCCGACCTTTCTTCCTCACATAAAAAAGTTCATAATGATAAATAAATATCTTTATCAGAAAAAATAAATTAAAAGAGTCTAGAGAAATGTATGCAAAGCTACGAATTTCGAAAAATATTTTCGGGTACTTCTCGTACACCATTTGTAAGAATATTGTACATACCCCTTTATCAGTTGTGCTAACATCATCCATAGCAAAAACCATGATTTCAAAACCATAAACATTCCATTACAACATATTTCGATAGGTATCTATTGCAGCATGTAGTCATCGCACATTTGGTGAGAACTGTTCTTCAGTATGTCATTGTTTTAACAACTCAACTTGTGATGCAGTTTCTGGAAAGTGTCACGTTGGTATTTGTGATCCTGGTTGGAGAACGGAAAGCTGTGACAAATGTAAGAAATGGTGCCAGTTAATATCTAACTCAGAAACATTTCATTTATATCATAAGTATGTATGAAATATGTTAACACGGGTATTAATTTGTGTATACATATAAATTGCAATTTTCACCCCTTATATTTCCATGAGTAGCCAGTGGAATGAAAATGTGACATTATTTCTTTTTATGAATTATCACCATAGATACTAATTAATTTTTTTATGTATAGGTTAGAGTGCATATTGGGTGTTCTTCGTAAATAAAAAAGCTAAAAAGGAGCGGAGCTTGCGAAGCGACTGTAGCTTTCTTATTTACGAAGAACATCCAATATGCACTCTAACCGGCTTAGTGCTCCGCCCACTTGCGTTTTATAATATAAAACGTCCAGTTTATAACAAATCTGTTCTATTAAGATTTGAAACCTGAAAATTTGAAAAATCCTCGTCGGTGATTGGCTTAAAAAAATGGCGAGCACTAAATTATATTACTGTCCAGCTTTATTTGTCATCCAATGAAAACGCTGTATTTCTTAAAAATTGTGAGTGTTAATTTTCATAGAAGAACAAAAGTCGATACTATATGAAATTCTGTTCATAGTCTATTTTCCAAAGTAATTAATAGAACTGCATATAGTGACGTCATAGTGAATGTTAATGAGGCCAAATAAAGCTTGACACTAAATATGTTAGTATTCATCCGTAGCTGTTCTACAGAAATTAGAAACATCCTCCTGTCGCTATCGCTCCCGTCGAAGTTTCTAATTTCTAAAAGGACGCAAATAATAGAGGAATTGATAAAAGATTGACCTTGATTTTCTGTCAGAATGTTAGCCACTTTAATGGTATTTCTGCCATCGACGGCAGCATTTAAAATGAGTATCTGCCTACAACGGCAGCATTTTTTCTTCGACCGGACCAGATTTAACGTCTGTAAAACTTTCAAGAAAAGACTCACGGGATAGATATTTGGCTTGCGTGACCCCAAGGGATGAACGTCTATATTAATAACACGAAATCCTGCCATTTAGTTAAAACTTGAGATATTTTGAACAAAAAAACAGACATTTTCACGGATTTTTCCGAAGCTATCACTTTTAACCTGCTCAAAATAGTCTACAAACAGGAAAAACGAATCCAAAATTACCTAATAGTATCTCCAGTCAATGGACAATAGTTTCATAGCAATGAAATAGGCCGTGTTTATGTAATATAGTAATACCAACCAAATTTATAACCTACCTGTACCGAGCGGTAAATTTCAGTTATCTGCCATCACTGGCGCCGGTAATACGGTGTGCGTCTATGTGTTCTATATTTACTTGTGATGTCATAGCATAAGATGTTTATTCTAACAGCATGCTATCATGGAAACTTCGGTATTGGGTGTAACAAAACGTGCCATTGTAAAGACAACACAAGCTGTGATCATATAAGCGGACATTGTGATACAGGATTGTGTGATCCGGGCTGGTTATTACCTACATGTAGCAAAGGTGAAATAATTCACTTTGGTATTTATTTTTCTCCCATTTTAAACATCTGCTATGTCATATTTTCCAATGAAATATATCTACAACTAGAATAAAAGGTCCAAATGTGAACACATTCATTTGAACTTACAACAGTATGAATCTATAAAGCATTCTTAATCAATCAAGAAAATTGATTTATTTAAAAAACTTCTTGTTATATGCAAGATATATCTGCTTTAAAGACTGTAGTACAAGAACACACGTAGAGGTTACGCCATAGAATAATATGAAATGTGAATATTGCTAACCTATTTATAATTAACTTCATTTTTCTTTTAGCATGTGGCCATCGAAGATTCGGACAGAATTGCACTTCGGTTTGTCATTGTTTAAATAATGCAAGTTGCAATGCAATATCCGGAGAATGTCACAATGGTATATGTGCCCCTGGATGGCAAACTCCTAGTTGTGATAAAGGTAAGATGTAAAATTCAAAATATTGCCTAGATCTTCTTTTTTAACTGCAATAAAATTTTGTTTAAGCATGCACGTCATAAATACTACAGGAAAAGTAAACATTGCTAAATTGTTTATTTTATTTTGATTTAAGCATGTGACCATCGAAGATTCGGACAGAATTGTACTTCGGTTTGTCATTGTTTAAATAATACAAGTTGTAATACAATATCTGGAGAATGTCACAATGGTATATGTGATCCTGGATGGCAGACTCCTAGTTGTGATAAAGGTAAGATGAAAAAATCAAAAAAGCTCCTAGATCTTTTTTTATAATGGCAATATCTTGCTAGAAATCAGGCTAAGAATAGCAAACTATAAAGGAATTTCTATTCATGTCTGTCTGTATGTCTGATTTATATGCCTCGGCTGATCCTATTAAGAAATTCTTATTTTATGTTTCTGGTTAGAGCAGATCCTTCAAAATTTGTTTTCAATTTTATAGAATGCCATCATCGTTCATTCGGGTATAATTGTTCATCTACTTGCCACTGTCTTAACAATACAAATTGCAACAGTACAACTGGGACCTGTAATACCGGATTATGTGACCCTGGTTGGCAAGGACCAAGATGTGATCGGGGTACGGATATTTAATATGCATAAAACCGTTATAAATCTTTTTTTCCTCCTTGACATTGTTTTAATGTTAATATTGTTGATATATTTTTATTTTTATTATTATTATTATTATTATTATTATTATTATTATTATTATTATTATTATTATTCATGTAATCATTGTCCATTTTACAATTGTTCATTGTTTTGTTATTGTCTCATTTATACAAATTGCAACAGATCAACAGGAACGTTTGATATCGGCTTATATAATTTGTGATGATCAAGGACCTAGTTGCGATTAAGGTATATTCTGAATTTATTGACCTATCAATTATAAAAACATTATAACACTCATTTAAGTATTGGATTACACTTCGGTTCTGTCCGTATAGATTACGAGAATTAATTTGAAGGATATGACTTATGTTTTGAAACGTCACACTATCTGAATGTTTATGCTCATGTTCTGGTCATATTTGAAATAGCACAGTCGGTTGAATGATTACCTTATACATTAGAATAGAGAAAAGCAGAATCCTTAAAGAAAACCCAACACGACAAATTTGAAAATGTTGCAGGCTCGATTTAATTGAGCTATCATGGACGGTACAGGAAAGTACAAGTTACCGCCCACGCTCACTAGCACCGGCTTAAGCAGACGTCAACATTTAAAAACAGAAAATGGTAAATTTTTAAGACTATTGTTCGTCCGGACTTTTGCCATTGTTTTTATACCCATTTTGTCTTTATTTTTGAAGTATTATTTAATGAATAGGGCTTGCAAAAAAATGTCTAAACGAACATGGAACAACTTAGAAACACAGATTTCTCTGTTTTTGTATTGAATTTTATGGCATTGAAATGACATATATTGAATTTAATTTCAATTCTAAAACCATGCTATTTAAAAAAAGTGTCGTGTCTTTGCCAAAATAACCGCAAAACATATTACCATATTAAAAGAACTACTGAAAGAAAAACAATCATACCTTGAATAATGTTGAAAAATATATATTAGAAAAAAAGCATAGACTTACGCGGTCTCGATCTTACAACACGTGGGATATTTAGAGAAATTATAAACCGATACTTTACCCTATTGCGCTATTACGATCGATATAACTATTTTATAGAAACACATTAAATCTCATCAAATCTTACTGCGTACTCTCTCACGAAGGTTACCAATCATTTTTCGAAGATTAAAATATTGTGTGCATTGACCGTGTAATCAGTATGTAATTGGCAGGATAATAAAATCAGTTAATACGTATGTATATATTGTGTAAATTTATTCATAAAACTAAGGCCATTTAATTCATTTTGCATGTTTTGTCATGTGTTCATAGACAATGAAATAGGTATAGATCATAAACGTGTGGTAAACAATTTGAATTTGGTCTTCCAATCATTTTTTGAAGTACAACACCAATTTAAACTAAGATGTACAAGCAAATCTTAATGTGTGAAGGCTACTGTTTCTTAAATTCAGAACCCTTAATACTAGATGTAAGGGATAGGACATGTTCTCTTTCGAAAATCGTGTCGTACAGACCTTCCTTAATGGCAAGTAACAAATTGCCAAATTATCTCCTGATAATGGGTGTAATGAATGAAATTCCATAACAATTAGGGCTAAAAGATAAACATAGTAGTAAGAGGGGTAAAATGCATTATAATGGTCTCTGTATATTGGTGTTGTTGTTGTTTTATTATCATTATTAATAGTATTGTTATTGCTGTTGTTGATTTCTTTTTAGCTCACCTGAGCTTGCTCAGGGTGAGCTTTTAGGATCGTTTAATGTCCGTCTTCCGTCCACATTTGTTCGTTAACACTCTAGCGGTCACATTTTTGCCTCAATCATCATCAAACTTTGTCTTGATAATAGCTAGGATGAGTTCAAACATGGGACATCTCGGATGAAAACCTAGGTCGCAGGAGCTAAAAATAGAAAAATCGTGTTACCACTCTAGTGGCTACTGTTTTCATTCTAATATCCTGGAAATTGGTCTGAAAGTTTGTTTTGATGACTTCTAGGTCAAGTTTGAATATGGGTCACCGGTGGTCAAAAACTATGTCACACCGCCCAAATATGGCAGAACCTTGTTAACACTCTCATTTTCTACTCAATTGACATCAGACATGGTCAGGATGATTGTCTAGGTAATTGCTCGAATGAGATCGAGTATGGTCATCTCGGATGAAAAATTAGGTCACAGGAGCTAAAAAAAAGAAAAATCATTTGATGATTCTATTCAGGTGCCCGTTCGTGCCTGAAATAATGCACGGAAGGACATCTAAGGTATGCCTCCAACAGTAAAGCTGGAACGTCGCCAAATGACCTATACTGTGTCGGTGTGACGTAAAACCCAAACAAACAAAGAACAATCGTCATATCATCCATGTCTTTCAAAAATCATGGAAAATTCTCCTCCGCTACATATTAATGGAAGTCGTTTGTATTTATTATAGAAAAAAATAATTCAATCAAAAATATCTTGAAAACTGATGAATAATTGGCATATAAATAAAAATGATTTTTAATGAGGATAAAGGTATTTATGGATTAATATATTCAAACAAGCTGCATTTGCTGCTTGATTCACCAAAACTATAATTGATTCTACATCATGTGTCTGGGAGATATCGTTAAATTAAACAAAAAAGAATCTAAACATACGCAATCAAACTTAGATATTAATATCTATAAGTAATTTACAAAAACGTGAAATTCAGTCTAAAATGGCACCTTGTGGAAAATCAAAAATAAAAAAGTTAATATGAACTCATTAGGTCCTCATGTTTTACTTGTTTTAAAAAGTAAATATTATATTATCCCATAGATGACGTCAACAACTTTCATAACTAAAACATACACTCCTTATTGTTTAGGTTGTTGATCAAGTTCTCCCTACAGACTATTATTTATTATTATTATCCCATCAATGTACACAATATTACTCAAAAACGTCAATGTAACATATACTAGAACATTGTCATTCTATTAAGACGTAAGTACCTGGATGCATCTCGTCATTATGCGACATTGGCCCGGAAATGTCCATATTCCGGTCACGTTTTGGCATTTGCACATTTATTTGACAATAGAACTTCAACATTAAGCTTTGTTGATTGTTCTTGATTGTCATCTAATTGCAAAATATCTTCATGTCATCCAACGACAGTAGTCATCAGAGTTGATTACGCCTTCTTTCCATTTTTTTTATTGAAAAAGCATGGTGATTACTGCCTATAAAGAATTGATGGATTCAAATATGTTTTGGTATATGGAATTCAAATGACAAAATGTAATCCGAATTTAGATTAGGATTCACTTTTTAACAAAGTAAGGCCCGCATTTGTAATGATTGTTAGGTCATAGGTTAATACATTTTACGTGCACACATACACACACACATACACATATATATATATATTGTTTTTAAATTTGGATTCAGATGTTTACTTTTTTTTCTCTTTTAACGCAGGTAATTATGCGATACAATGACATTGATATAATGCTTGGTTTTGTTTAAATCTTACATCGTGTTATTACTGCAAAAACAAACAAAGATTCGTGAATACATGTACTGCATTTAAAAAAGGAATCGGTAATTGTTTATATATTCCAGTATGTGATTTTCGTGCCTTTGGATATAATTGTTCATCAACTTGCCATTGTCTTAACAATACAGATTGCAACAGTTCAACGGGGCGATGCTATATCGAATTATGTGACTTTGGTTGGCAAGGTCCTAGATGTGATGAAGGTATCTTTGGTCCGAAATTGACTACTAGAACTTTTTTGTTGTATTTTTCTTCTTTTATGGATGGTGATTTGAAATCTTCGTGATTGATAAATGTAAAGTCAAATGTAGTTTTATTGCATTTATGGTTATTCAGGGTGAATAACAGTAATGTCATAACGCAATCAAAATGTATAAAATCTTATTTTCATCTTATAATTACTAGTATATTATCACTATTGAAATTATTTATATATACAATATTGTTGTGTTATTGCATTTATTGACTAATATTAGTATAAGACATCCAGATTTTATACGGCACGTTTTTTCACTTAGAACAGAATATTTTGAGACATTTAGATGCGCAGACAGACATGTCATCAACATTCCTTAACTGGACATCAAATCTCGCAATCGATGGTAACATTGGTCCAAAACCTGACGGTTGCAATTGTTGTAGCGGCACAAAGAATTCTGCAATATCCTGGTGGACAGTAGATTTGGGAAAACAGTATCCTATAAATAGTGTTACTGTGTTCAGTAGAGAGTTTGGTAAGTTGAAGTGTTTTTGTCAGATAAGATTGAACATTAACAATGAACATTATTGTAAACCAAAACAGTATCTGAAACGCTTACAAATTTTCAATGAATATGTTCTGTAAATATATTTATAATGAAGAATCGCCTGTGTGATAAAAAGATACTTATCTTATTATAATCATTCTTTTTCTAGTTATTATTTGAATTTCCGTTATTTTGTTGTCCTATAGATCAGTTATATCAGCAGCTCGCCGATTTTGAGCTATATATTGCCCAAGATACTGGGAAAAACTCGTTTCGTCTGGTGGAAAATAGCACAAGAAGAATTGATGGAAATAAACACGTCCTTACATTTTCAAATAAATTGACAAGATTCATTAAGATTCAGAGACCAGGCGTCCTTACTTTGTGCGAAGTGATGGTGTCTGAAGGGGGTGAGCACTTTTCGTCTAAAATCGAATATATAAATATAAATCATAGTACTCTTATAACTATTACAATTAAATACCATTAAATGAAGAAGTAAAGCAGTTACAATTTCTAGCTGTTTCCAATCAATTCATGTAGGTTCTATGTTTTTGCTTTATAGAGTGTCAGGTGGGAACATTTGGCGAAGAATGCTCCGAGATATGTCACTGTGGTGATGACCTTGCATGTGATAAAATAAGTGGATATTGTCAGTCAGATGCATGTAAATCTGGTTGGATCGGTAAATCTTGTAACCAAGGTAAGCTTACTAATAACTAAATGTGCTACAAAGTCTAGGTTGTATGTTTTATTCAATGAACGGAACAGAAAAGGGGGCGTTAGGGATGTTGCACGTTTTCAATATCCCTCATGTACAGACTCAATCAAAACTAGTCTGCAATGCTCTTGTAATTTTGTTCTGATAAATGCTTCCGAGGGATCACTTTGTGTCCAGATTTTTATACTTCACAACAGCAGGTGTCAAGTGCTGTGTTGCAGCTGTAAAAAGTTGCCCCGTTCTTCAGTGTTGTTATATTTTTCTGGTCCTTCGGGATCATTGATGCCAGCACTGTTAAGTGTTGAGAATTAAATATCGCTCAAACCGGTGCAAGGGGGCGTCAGGGATGTTGCACGTTTTCAGTATCCCTCATGTACAGACTCTATCAAACCGAGTATGCAATTCTCTTGTAATTTTGTTGTGATTAATGCTTCCGAGGGATAACTTTGTGTCCAGACTTTATACTTCACAACAGCAAGTGTCAAGTGTTGTTTGGCAGCTGTAAAAAGTTGCCCAGTACTTCACTTCAGTGTTGTTATATTTGCCTGGTCCTTTGGGATCATTGATGCCAGCACTGTTAAGTATTGAGAATTGAGTACCACTCAAGCCGGTGCTAGGGGGCGTGAGGGATGTTGCACGTTTTCAGTATCCCTCATATACAGACTCAATCAAACCGAGTCTTCAATTCTCTTGTCATTATGTTGTGATTAATGCTTCCGAGGGATCACCTTGTGTCCAGATTCTAAAACAAAACTCATTTTACTAATTCTTCTATTTTGTGGAATTTAAGTATAGGAATTTTGAAACTTAGAAATAGGTAACAACCCAAGTAAGGAAAATTTACCTTTCACCGATGTGTCATTTTATGCATATGTGTATGTATACATTTTTTAAAGCTTTGTTAAATCAATTAGATTACACACATATATACAATCATTTCATTTACTTAATCAGAAAACAGTTTTGATATATCTGTAACCTTTTCATATATTTAGAATGTCCGAAGAACAGATTTGGTGATCGATGTAGTGAGACTTGTTTTTGTGCTGAAGGTACATGCACTAGTAACTATGGGGTATGTCAGAACGGTTGTCAACAAGGGTACACTGGCTCTCATTGCAATCAAGGTAATTTTATGTAATTTGCTTCTATCATTCATAGACAACAGAACTCTTAAAAGATGGTTTGTGTTTAAAAGAAACCTTTGGAATAGATATATTTGATCAATGAAATTGTTTGATAATAATATATTGTACATTATTGTATACAGTTGATGATTTCAACAATCATACCCGTCCAGCTAACGAAGAGAAGAATACAGCAACTCTCATAGCAGTTGTTGTTGGCGGATCAATTGCTGGTCTGATCATATGTGTATTAGTAGGTGTGGTTGTAGTAAAATTAAGACGGAAACGCAGGTAAGTAATTTATTAAACATATAAATATTCACAAAACTATTGATTGCAAATATTTTTAATTCAATTACTTTGAAAAACATGAACACAGTATACAAAAAGAATGTGCTGAATTCAACGTATGTTTAGTTTAAACATATCTTTGTCAAATCTATTTGTAGTACCATAGAATAGATAATGTTATTTTCAATGCTATTTCATATTATTTCTTTTTTACAGCGAAGGTAATAAAAGTCACTACTCAACGCCAACCCCTCCCCCGCCCCCCCCCGTCTCCCCCCCCCCCCCCCCCCCCTCCCCCCCCCCCCCCCCCCCCCCCCCCCCCCCCCCCCCCCCCCCCCCCCCCCCCCCCCCCCCCCCCCCCCCACCCCCCCCCGCCCCCCCCCCCCCCCCCCCCCCCCCCCCCCCCCCCACCCCCCCCCCCACCCCCCCCCACCCCCCCCCCCCCCCCCCCCCCCACCCCCCCCCCCCCCCCCCCCCCCCCCCCACACTCCCCCACCCCCCCCCCCCCACCCCCCGCCCCCCCCCCCCCCCCCACCCCCCCCCCCCCCCCCCCCCCCCCCCCCCCCCCCCCCCCCCTCCCCCCCCCCCGTGTAGCAACTTTAAAAGAAAACTGAAAGAAATTTACTAACCTCCCATTGTTCGTCTTATTTTATAAACGGTGAGCGCTTCACCAACAGTATACCATACAAACGTCGAGCTAGAGGGAACGCGAACATTTTTTATTTCAGTGCAGAAAAAATTTAAATCATAATCAACCGGCCGGGGAAAAAAACCCTTTTTTTTTTAAATTTTTTAAAAAAAAATTTTAAAAAAAAAAAAAAAAAATTTTTTTTGTTTTGTTTTGAAAAAAATTTTTTTTTTGTTCCCAAATTTTTTTTTTTGTTTTGTTTTTTCAATATATCAGAAAATATATTTATTTACAATTTCTTTTTTCTGATTATTTTTTCTTAGATTTCAACTTGATTAATCATACTTTACATATGTCTTTTTCACATCTATTTTTAAATAACATTGCAGTCAGTATTTCAGGGAAGGGCCCCCGATAATGTTGTTATAACTTTTGGCCCAACCCATTTTGTATATTTACAATAATGTATTTATGTGTAATTGTGAAAATTTATGTTTGTATGTATATATATACAATAAAATATGTTTAAACTATATAATTATAATACAAACATTCGGTAAAGAACATTAATAAATACTTTGATCTCAATATTTTCCGGTCCACATGTCAGGCCTAGAACTCATAGATGTTCGTATTTAAGTATAAACATGTGTAAACGGACTAGTTTATTATCGTAAATTGAGAGATTGTGATATATATGTTTACCATTATGAGTTTCAGCTTACACATATAATCCAAGTCAATGTGTGCAAAGACGGGGTCAAAGAAGACAATGAAATGTTTGAATTTTGTCCGAAGCATTTCTTCTTGCTGAATTAAGGAATTTCATAATTACTTGAGTCAATTATTTACCATCATGAAATATGATTTCTTGCACATGAAACAGATCAAATATCATGGTAATACACAGTAGTCAAGGTTCACATCAGTCTGTATCATGAGCATCATGCAGGACTGTGAATAATTTCACGACCGGCATATATTGTGACAAAATTACTTTTGTTAAAAAACGATGAAAATCTTAAGGCGGAAAAGATAAATGGAAGAATAAACTTGTACATCAGTGACAATATTTCTTACTTACAGATAACCAAGGCCGAAGAAACACAGCGTATGAAAATGAAGTTGTGTCTAACATGTGATGTATTTGACTAGAAAAACCTGATAAAAGTATACTGTATTGGAGTCGTTTTAAACGAATATGACAATTATTTCATTAATTCATTCATCAAATAATGTGATAAATGTTGAATCTTTTATCAAGCATGAACTGCAGTTCTTAATATTAAACATTTTGTCAAGCATATGTGTTTATGTTAAAAATTACAACCATTCTAAACGAAAAATTTAACATAGTAAAAACATTTAAAGAAATGCTATTGACAAATGGAATTTGTTTGATATTCAACATTTAAACCTTTTATTTCTAGTAAGTTTTGAAAAGATTTATGCTATTTTAGAATGATATGATATGACAACATGCTAAACATTCTTATCTAAACATGAATTTTTGTTTCCGGTATCATTATTGTTCTGTCATAAACTAGTTCGGAATCGTTCATATAATTATGTTGATTTGACTTACCTTTACTTTAATAGACTCTGACTTATAAGGCGTTATCAATTATGATATTGTGAACCCGTTTCTTTGTAAAATGATAGTTCGAAATATCATTTTTCTTGCATTGATTAATATATGTATAGTATAAAGGATAAGGACTAGTTTGGTTATGATTTGATTTTTTTGAATATATATTAAGTAAATATAATTTTAAATTACAAAACAGTACGACTAACAGAGAGTAATTGAGCTATTATTATATTAGGGTGTAAACTTACCTGTACCATAGTTTGGAGACGTTTCCATTGAATACGGGTTAGAGTTTAAGCGTACACTTCTAATACACGCACAATGTGTTAAAGGATGCAGGTATTAGTTACCCACACTCCTGTTACAGCGCTGTCTGTCTGAGATAAACATAGAGCCTGCTTGTTGATTGGCTCATTTTTCTTGTTGTTGCTTTTGGGGATTAAATTTACTTTTTTCTAGGGTTTCATATAGTGTCGACAGGGACGGTATTGTTACTTATTTCTGCCTATGACACAAACGAGAAACAACATCAAAACACTCGACAATCGGATTTATACTTGGTAAGGGGCTACGCCTCCTTGAACATGTCACATTATACTGTGTTTCGATGCTTCTATTACATTATAGCTTTTCTACAGATCGGTTAAGCGTAAATTCTACATAACGGTATCACCAAAACATTTATACTTGCCTATTAGCTCATATTTAGGACGGCAAATTACATGTTCCCAGTTGCAACTGGCCTTTGGTATATCATACATACTGTATGAAGGTGTAAACGTCAAACAAACATAGGAGATTCATTTAATAATCATTTAATGTTTTGTAAACATTTTTGATGAAAACAAAAGAAGATTATTTTAATTTATTTTCAAAGTTTTCCAAAATTCAGATATTTTGTTTATTCACGGGGTATTTAAGTAAACAATTTATACGGTAGTCTTACACTAGAAATAGTAGGTCACTCAATCTGCCTATGACATTCAATAGAAACATTGATGAGTGACATGTGCATTTTCCACGTCTTTCTTTCAATAAACACATCTAGTTAAATATCTTTCTCTGAATCATCAATTCTTTAAGAACAAATAAAACAAACATGTGTTTCCTGTTGTTGCTACAATTGTTTTTTGTTTATATCAAAAGTAGTAATTGCAATTCTTTATATATGTGTTACCCACACTTTTATACATTTAGAAAGATATTGTTAAGTCTTGTGTAATGTACCATATAAGACCTTTTACATTAAATTCATTGATATTTATAAAAGAACTTTTTTCTTTGGCAAACGATGTTACTTGGTTGATATTATGGCCATAGGAAAAAGATGAAATAATCACCGGCTGTTTTGCTTTCCTTTCACTTTTTTTGTCGTCGAGGCGGTCACATATGTGTCAAAGTTGTATAATTCAGTATATGTATATAAATATTTTCTTTCTATACAAAACATATCTGAACAATACCACAGGTATCCCTTCTCGCTAGTGTAAAAGTCAGAAGATAAATACACGTCGTCATTTGAACTGACATAATTCGGGCATGGTGGCAATGTTTTCAGAGGGAAGAAAGAGTCAATACGTTAGTAACATGTATTAGACATAAGGGATACGGGTTGCATATCTATGGTTAATATATGTAGGGCTTGGACACATGGTGGGAGATTTATTGCAACTAGATTACAGTATATCTTATCAAATCTGATAAACCTACATTCTAGTCTGCAATGTTCTAGGAATTGCCTCCCCAGTTCTCTTACACGGCTGACAGTCTCTAGGTCATATTTATCTTGTCAATATTGGTTCTTGTGTAGGGAGACAAGATAATTGCTGCATATTCGGCATGCGTTCGGTTGCTAGTTCTTCCATTTTCTCTGTTTTTATCATTTCATTACTTTTGATAAAGCCAAGGGATCTGTTTGTATTAGGGGCTTATTCAAGATATATATGTATTTAATCTAAGGTCTGGAGACAGTTCTATTCCGAGATATTTTGCATTAAAGGCTGATTCTAGGACTTGGTTATGCAGGATATATTTAAGAAATAATATTTCTCTGAGCGGTGTTTAATACCGGTTTGGGGTTTTGATAAATTTGAATTGACCGATATCATTTACATTTTAATAAAACAGAATAAGGAAAGTCACTGTTTTTTTTTTCAAGAGCAGATTACTTCTTCTGCCGATTTTCTTACAACGCAATCGACTTCTTGACATTTCATTGTATCAGCATATTAATTACGTGTGTTTTATTGAACAATCCGACCCTGTAGCTCTAAAGGGACAATTGTACATTAGAAATGCAAGGTACTAGGTGTCTATACATAGGGAGGTCCGAGAATATATTACTCTGCTTGGGACATAAATATTAAAACTACTTTAAAATATCAAAGATATGGTAGAAATCTTAAAATGCACAAAACGCATAGTTGTTTTAATATCTTTTGAAGTTTATCATTTGATGTTTGAGTTGTGTCAAATGTGCATTGTATTATCAGTGAAGTACCCTATATCAAGCAAACATGTGCAGTATTGTGCACATCTAGTCAACTTTGTCCTAAATGCGCCTTTTTTAAACATGAGTATCATTGCATGTTTGATAAGGGATATTTTTATAATGAATGGGTTTTAAAAAGATTAAATCCGGGTCAACTGCATAGCACGCCGTCTAATGATAAATAAACCAAGAAGAAAAACAATCAGATACAAATTTATCATGAATGCGTACGTGTGAGAGCGTGCATGCAAATTAGCGTATGTAAGTTGTGTGCAATAACAGGGTCAATTGTAGTAGTATCCAATAGAATAGAGAAAAACAGAACCCCTAAAGACAGCCCAACATTGCAAAATTGCAAATGTTGCAAGCAGGATCTATACTACTCAAGAAATAAGTTTGATCACAAAACGAGGAATATGTTACGATTT